GTCACCGTCTTGAAAAAGACACCAGAGTGTAGCATTGGTATAGTTCCACTGAATTCGGCGGTAATGTAGGGCATTCCTTGGACTAAGGGGAACGATATTGCGGGTGGTGTCTCCTGGTCTTTACTTAGGTGGACTCTTGCTGAGAAGGCCGTCATGCTGTCGATTGTGAGTGTAGAATTTTTCCCAAGTTCCTTGGCAGAGATAACCATCGACTCAATGCCAACAGGGTTGATGAAGTACGCCGAGGCACCGTGCGATTTCTCCTGTCCGAAAACTCTTTGCTTTGCCTCAATATGCGAGCATGACATTCCCCAACTACCAGATACACCTTTTCCAGCAGCCCATGCTATGGAGTATGGGAAGGTATATGAAGGTCCTCGCTGATCTCCTAGAAAGAAATTGGCGTAGAATTTATTGGTTTGAAGTGGCATCTGGGACTTAATCCCCAGCCTAGAAACAGGATGATCTTCTCGGACCTCAAACATCGAGGGCGGTGGCCTCGTGTCGATAGGGTCCTTGAAAATATCGCGGCCGAACATCGTGGGTGGGGCAGTTGTGTTCGGGGTAGAGGATATCGAGGGTTCAATCTCGGATTTCGAGGAGTGCTTTTCAAAGGGATAAAGATGCTGAGTTTCAGGTATCTGAGTTGCAATCGAGGAGCTTATATTGCCGAAAATGGGAGTAGGCAGATAGGTGCTTGGGGTCTGGGGGTGCTCCCGGTTGTGCTCGTGAGAGCTTTGAGTAGTTGAAAGGACGGGCAATGTGGGATTCTCGAAAGCCGTCACCGTATACCCTTTAACAGGATACGATATAGCTGCAGTTGGTGAGTGTTTTTTGCTTTGATACCCAGCAAATGCACAACTCTCGATAGCTTGGTTCAAGGCTTCCTGATGAGGTCGAAAATATCCGCTCGGGAGTGCGTCGAGCAGCGTATTGTTCAAAGGCGGCGCAGAGTAGTCCTGTCCAGTATCTAGGTCTATTAATACTGACGATACCTGGGTTTTGGTCAGTAAAAGCAAATATAAGATGAGGTAGAGGGTGGTCATTGTTTCGGGCAGTGGTGATTTGATATGATGTTGTGCATCCTTAGTCTCCGTATAATCTCGAGTTGTCTATCATGGGGGGAAAGCAGTAGGATTTGGAAGATGAAGACTATCCATCTTTTCTCCATTTTGAAATAGATATTGTGATGGAACAACATATTCATAGCCATGATTCACGGCCAGGAGTGTACTCATGGATGGTTATTGGGGGAGGCAACGCCAGTTCTTCAATCAAGAACGGGGGTGTTACCTTTATCAATGAGAAATTTCGGAGGGACTGAGGTAGATCGAAGACTAGGGCGTATAAGAGATAAAAGTGTTTGGTGCCAATTAGGATAATGCGTGATGAGAACTTGTCAAGATGGATATGAAGGTGGAACGATTCTGTTTGTGGTCGCCAAGGATGGACAATGAACAGAAGTAACAACGATAGGGGCTATCAAAGCGAAACAAGTACCTACCTGCCCAATTCTCCTAAATATTTGAAGCCGGATTGACGGAGGTAAGTGCTACTACCTATATAGCAGGTCACTTAGCAGCCGAGAAGGTACGAGAGCATGTCGATTCGCAGACTGCTGGGTCGCTGATTCCAGCAACCACAGACAATGGAAGGAACCACAGAGCTTTACTCACAGCAGATAATTCACAGCTCGGAATACCTCAAGATTGTTTAGGAAAGAGTCGTGGATAGGAACGAAGACCTAGCTGGCTCATGGCCGTGATTGTGAGTGTTTGACCGTTTGCTCCACCCACCACCAAAAGTCTTGGACGTGACGTAACCCAATTCATGGGCATGGGTATTGGACTCTGACCATCTTTTCTATGTAGCTGCAAATAAGAATAAAATACAAGACAAACAGTCTTGGATTCCACCACAGCTTGAGTGAATATATCTTGCTGGCTACCAAATAATAATAGGTGTGTGTCGCGAGATGGCACGACTGCAGGGCCACAGATAAATCTACAACCCCAAAGCACCAAATTTCCCCTTCGCACCGCCCTCCCGTATAAAGGCGGCAACATCAACATCATGCTCCTTGGCAGGGCGTTTGTTTGGTTTCTGATCGTTCGTAGAAGATGCGCCCCGTCCCCGTGACGATTCTTCCTTGACTCGCTTCTTTTTCGATGCCTCTGCTGACCGTGTGGCACGTCGTTGGCACTTCTTGATACATTCCCTGCTCAAGGTCCACGGTTTGCTCAGAATGTCGAAGCGAAATTTCTCTCGCTTCTCCCACAACGAAACCTCCTGCATCGTACTTTTTACCAGCTGCATCTTTTCAACGTTGATTTGTCTCTCGTCTCGAAAGGTAGTGAGAGAACCCTTTATGTCCAGAATGGTTCCAACATCGATCTCGGCATAGGGACTCTTCGGCCCCTGTGGTTGATTTCCTGCCACATCAGCCCCTTGATCTTGCTTCTTGGTCGCTTCCCTGGCCGTGGATAAGTCCGGCTTGGTTGCTAGAATGGTAGTTGCTCCTGCTGGTGGGCTTGTGATCTTGAGCACTGCCTCAAGGCAGACACCGCTGCTGTCATCAATCGTAAAAATACGTCGTTTAGGAATATCATCAATCGCAACCACCAATCCAACAATGCGCACCCATCTTATGGGAAGATTCTTATAAAAGTAATAATCCTGACCTATCGACTAACCCGTCAGCCAAATGTATGCTACCAGGTTGACTCTTCAGCCCTCGCGCGCACGCACCTTGATAGTCCTTTGGCTGCTTCAAACGTTTGATGTCGGCTGCGCGTAGAAAGCACCATTTATTATGCGTGGGTGCAAGGTCGAAGCAGTATCGTGGGTAGATCTCCAGCTTCGCGTGCGGACGCGACCTGTCACCCATGGCGCATCGACCTGCAGAAGCGCCCGTCGAAGCCTAGCAATGGTGGCGCATTTCATAGTAAACTACCAGGTGATTCATAGAGCTGAAGAGGTTTGGAAAATACCATCTTGCCCTTGAATATGGTGTCTGGCGAGCCCTGTGTCAATGCTAGAGAAGGGCAGCGATCTTTTGGCCGTGCTTAAATGAACGCTGGTCGCTGAGAGCAGTGAGACGGCGCCTTCCAGAATCATATAGCACGTGTGGAACCTAACTTGACCTCCATGTCACTGACTTTTGTTCCCCCACCCGCATTTCATACAGAATCAAGGCGACGCTAGCAAATGGAATTCAAAGCGAAGATGCGCAGTCATTAATCATAAGCATACGTCTTCGATGCATTGTTACTACCTGGTCAGTGACAGGAACAGCAATGGGAGTGATTCTAGGGGAGGTTCCTTCGCAAAATTCACTTGGATATATTTGTCTTGTCAGCCTACGTGACAGAACCGACCGTCAATAGCCAGAAGCTTCCTATTCTAACAATCAAACCCGCCGTACTCCGTAAAGCAATGCCAGTCCCTTATTAAGCCCGCCCATATCTAACCTAAAAACACATGCTCATGATCTCGTCCTCTTCGCCCGGGAACTGGATCCTGATTTCTCCCTCGCCGCCTTCGCCGACTGTTGCCTTGAACCAACAGCCTGGAAGGCTTCCTCGGGCGGCTCATCGGGAAGCGCACGCTTCTTCCCCTTCTTCCCCTTGCTTGGCGCGGCATACTTCTCCGCAAGGCGGTCGAGAAAATTATCAGAAGATCTCTCCTGCTGCCGTTTGGAAATCAACGCTGCAAGATCATCCTCTGAACTTCCTTTTCCTTTCTTGCCCTTCTTTTTACCAAAGAGCTTATCATGGACTCCAAGCTCCTTGGCATACTCCTCGGCCTCCTTGGCTTCTGATTCCGCCTCGGCCTTGGCTCTCCTAGCCCGGGCCTCGCGTTTTCTCTTCGATTCTTTGGAGTACGCCGAGAAGTTTGGGACCCGTTCGTCTTGTATGGCCTGGTCTATAATTTGGCGGAATCGCTCATCGTCCTCCAGCACATCGCTAAGAATCACTGATTCGTAAATGCCATCCATATTTCCTTCGGACTGTTCGTATGCGTTGAGAAGGTCATCCTTCTCTTCATCGGATCCCTTGTATTGCTTTGCAAATTTTTCGATCGCATCAGCAGAAATCGAGTCTTTGAATTGTTCGCGATAGAAGTCGCTCCAGTCGAAGCCATCAGAATCAACGATGGACTCTGATGTTGAGCCCGTCTGGTCGTATCGTTTCCGCCGTGCAGGATCCGAAAGGACGGCGTAAGCGAAGGCAATGGACTGGAAGGCCTCGTGGGCCTTTTCTTTCTGGTCTTCGGGCGCCTTGTCTTTGGTTTTCAATAAGGGTTAGCAGGAATCCTGGCCCGAGAAAGAGTGAGCTTACCCGGGTGATGCTTCAGTGCAGCTTTGCGATAAGCCTTCTTCACATCATCACTGGATGCCGTTCGTTCGATGTTCAGGACTTCATATGGATCAATGACCGGCGGTTCGCCATCCAGGACATCCTCGGGATTTGACATCGTGTCTCGGTCCGTTGAGCTCAGCTTCAGGTTTGGTTGATGGAGAATGACAGTGCAGATGCAAATCAATTTAGTGGTTGATCTTAGAGCATCAGACGCGTCGCGTAGCTCTACTGCATCCATGCACTACCCTATAGAAATGTGGGGGAAGGTTAAGGTGGATGGACGCCTATATCGGGAGCTCTGAGCACCGTCACATACCTTGCAAAGCACTGAGCAGGCGTGAGATAACCCAAAGACCCAAAGTCACAAAGATAATGATTCTTAACTTCAATTTTAATTCATTTGAACATGTGGATTTGAAGGTCAATTGAAGATTAGGGACATGATTCATAGTAGAAAACATCCATACAGGTAGTTTGCCCAACCGCTAAAAGATGGGTCCTAATGGCTCGGAGACGGCTAAGGGCAAATGTCTTACCATGAAATCCTCTCTCATTCAACAACCAGCATCCCGGTACGAAACTTCACACAGCAACAAAACAATTCAAACAAGAGGATAATAGGAAGAACAATCCAGCACCATGGGCAGCTCTAATATTGAAACCATGCAACATGCCCTGGAACTGGCACGAAAATCGCCACCAAAACCAACCAACTTCCGAGTTGGTGCTGTCCTAGTTCGGCTTGCAGATGGCCATATTTCGACAGATGGATACACATTAGAACTCCCAGGCAATACCCACGCGGAGGAGTGTTGCCTTCTCAAGCTGGCCGAGAAGCTCTCAATTGCGGAGGAAGACCTTTGGCAAAAGGTTACTGAGCCACATGCTGTATATACCACCGTTGAACCCTGCTCAAAACGTTTGAGTGGTAAGATGACATGTACGGAAAGGATTCTTCGCCAGAAGTCATGGATCAAGAAAGTCTATGTTGGCGTCCAAGAGCCCGACACCTTTGTCAGTCAAAATGAGGGGAGACGCATGCTGGAAGAGGCGGGTATCGAGGTCATCCACGTCAAGGGCCTGGAGGAAAGCATACTCCAGGTTGCAACTGCAGGTCACATCTCGGAGTGATACTGCTTTCCAATAATTACTAGTTACCGGTGTGATCGGAATGTTTATGAAGGATTCGTGCTGCAGCGTTTCACCACATGCAGCCAATATCTAGCGGCCAGCCACGCGCTTGCTTTGCTTTTCGTGGTCTCGATGACGCCCTAACTGGGAACTGAATCTAGAAGAAAAGAAAAAGGCACACCTCCACTAAGCCAGTTCTCCAAAATGGGAAACCATTTCAGTTATTTCACTGTCGAACTGTCGTGCTGGTTTTTTTTTTTGCTGCCCCCAAGCATGACCGGGCTGTTCATGATAATAGTGGGCGGTTCGCATCTTTGGGACCCCAGACTTCCATGCCTGGTCCGACTTATTTGTACTCCCGCAGACTTAGCCAGATTCTGAAACAATAAGATGGAGGGTCGGAATGTGTCGTGGTAGGGTCAGTTACCCTTCCTCCACCCCTCTGCAGGCGTTGGTTGAGGTTGGGCTCAGTAAGATGATGTTGTGATACATATGGGTGGCGAACTTTTCTTTTTCATACCTGTGACGGAGTCCATAGAATAATCTCTTTTGAAAGAGAAAATGCGAATTGCTTTTCTTGAGCTTGGATCTAGTCGCCAAATAGTTCACTGCTCCAACACCGCGATTCCCAAAAAAATTGTTGGCTGTTGTGCATGTTGGTTGTTGTCACGCCGGCCAGAGCACTGGCGGCCATAGTCCAATAAAATAGAGGGTGCGTCTTACACAGCGTGCAGACTTGATGCAGTGCCTTATTAGGTATTGTCGGTTGGTTAAGAGGGTTGAAGGCTTCCGGCGGGTCCGGATCGCCTTTCTCCCCAACCGATAGGCTGTGGTAGCGAAAGAGCAGCCAATTCAGAGCCCTGTAAAGTTCTGTGGAAATCTCAATATCCAAGCCAACATAAGGCACATCACGCATCCACCCACCGCTCCGCTTTTGGTTGGCCTCCCACCGACATCCTTCAGGTCACCAAATCTTAACACCACCAATACCCAATACCCAATACCCAGGTAGTATCTCAGCATTTGCAGCTTGACATCTTTTATTTATTTTCTCTTTCATATCTCCTTTCTTTTTGCATTCAATTCTTTCTCTGTTCAAATATCCCCAGATTCGACGTACAACACACGTAACCTTCCACCGACGTCAGGAAGACGTGACCTACCAGTTACCTCACCGTCTTCTCCCATTGGGATCTCGGTCTCAGAATTACTTCAGCACAGAACTAACTTGTGTTTTCCTGTCCCACTCATCATTTTAGCCGTTATCTGTCACTAGATAACTCACTTAGCAACGTGCTTTCTCATCCTTTGCCTGTAATTTCTCAATTGATTCAACATGGCAGATAGAGGAGACAGAGGAGGAAGAGGAGGTCGTGGGGGACGTGGCGACCGCGGTGACAGAGGCGATCGTGGCAGAGGTCGTGGTCGTGGCTCCAGAGGAGGCCCTAGAGGCGGCTTCTCCGACCAACCATCATCAGACCCCGCAGGAGGTGATTTTTCTCGGCCTCGTGGTGGTGGTCGAGGCGCCTATCCTAGCTCCGATGGATTCAGAGGCCGCGGTGGTAGAGGCGGCCGAGGTGGTGAACGAGGTGGAAGAGGCGATCGAGGTGGAAGAGGCGACCGTGGTGGAAGAGGAGGGCGTGGTGGCGGCTCGTTCTACCAACCACCTCCGGCAATGGACCTGTAGGTCACGCAACCGAGAGCATCATTTACTATTCTTGACTGACGCTTTGCAGTGGACGAGCAGAAATGGACGCAGAACATGAGAAGCTGGAGGATATGAGACTCGGCATGCTTCACTCGTTCAACGCCGATGATCTGTCCAGTCAAATGCAGGAAACAACACTGGAGCCCAAAAGCCAACCTTTGCAAAATCAGCTCCCTACTCAAGCATTCCCTCTTCGCCCAGCTTTTGGTGATCAGGGAAACCCGGTCCTCCTGTGGGCGAACTACTATACTATGACAGTGAGAGCTTCGTCGCTCTGGAAATACCCCATCAAGGTCGAGGAGCGCTCAAAGAAGCAGACCCAAGATGAGGGTCGTTCCAAGCAGCCAAAGTCTAAAGATCCTGGAACTGGTACTGCCCGAGAGGTCAGAGGGCGCAAGCTCCATCTTGTAATGGAGCAAGTGTATAACTTTTTCAGTGCACAAACCCTCGTCGCAACAGAGTTCAAAAGCCAGTTGCTAGCATCTCAACAGCTGGAACTCGAATCTAACCCCATGCTCGTCAAAATTCCAGCAGAGGATGGCATAGGTAACGAGGACGAATTTGTGGTCTCGATTCTGAAGCCGACGGAAATTCGAATCGGGGATCTGCTCGAGTATATGTTGACGCAGAAAAGCAAGCCGTTTCAGTTCAATTTCCCCCCTTTTCCTGAGTGTGTCGATGCTCTGAATCTCATCCTTGGAACTCAACCACGGGCTAGTCCCCAACAAATCACTGCTGTAGGAAGTTCACGATTCTTCCCTTTTGGTGACGGATTCGAGCAAGAGAAAGCCGGCATCCCCCTCGCTGGCCAAGGCCGAGGTCGCCCACTCGAAGCCCTTCGAGGTTTCTTTCAGTCTGTTCGGGTCAGCACCGGCCGACTGCTTCTGAATGTCAATGTCACTTGTGGCGTTTTCAGAGCTTCCGGTTCAATGACTGGAATCTTCAGTCAATTCAATGCTGGTGGCATCACTGACAACGACGGTGATCGACGTTACAGATCAGTGCTTACTAACTTGACGAAGACCCTGTCCAGGGCTCGTGTGAAGGTCACCTTTATGGTTGGCAATGGCAAGAAAGTGGAGCGGACAAAGACAATTCATAACCTTGTCATGGCTCACGAAGTTCGTCGTTCTAAGGACAAGAACTCTCCTCGAATTGCCAATGGTTTCTACTTTGCAGGTCCAAAACAAGTCAGCTTCTATCTTGAGGAAGATGGAAAAGGTCGTTATGTCACGGTTGCAGATCATTTCAAAAACAGTATGCTTAATCGCCTTACTAGTAATCAGCTTGTTCACAGGTACTAATCTTCATCTTAGAATACGGAATGACCCTGGGAGATTATCCTCTTCTAAACTTAGGCAGCCCTGTCAAGCCTGTCTTTTTCCCGGCTGAAGTTATCACAATGATACCAGGTCAATCCGTCAAAACAAAGCTGATGCAGGATGAGACAACCAAGATGCTCAGCCTTGCCTGTCAAAGACCAGACGTGAACGCGACCGCCATTCTCACTGCAGGCCGGGCTACCCTTGGCCTAGACAACGAAATACTGAGCCAGTGGGGCATGGCAATTAACAACAAGCTCCTTGTTGTGCAAGGCCGAGAGCTTCAGGTACCTCGTATCAAATACCTGTCTCTCGAAAAGAAGCCTGCTTTCATGACACCTCAGAAGGGAAGTTGGAACTTCAAAGATAGGCTAGTCGCAAGAGGTGCTACAATTCCCAAATGGTCGGTGCTACAGATCAAGCTTTGGTCCCAGGCAACGATGTTGAACGATCAAGACATTAAAAACTTTGAGACTAATCTGCGGAACGCCGGAATTTTACTTCAACGTCCTGTCCAGTGTCCCTTCCCAGAGTTTTCCGTCCATGACATTCATGGCCCCAGAATAGAAGAAGCCTTCGAATGGGCCAAGCAACAAGGCGTCACATTCTTCCTGGTTGTCTTCTCCGGAAGGGCAGACACGAGCGTCTACGGGAGAGTCAAGATCTTGGGAGACTGCTTATATGGTATCCACACAAGTTGTGTTCTTTCGGAGAACGTGCTCAAGAAGGGCCCAGGCTACGCCGCCAACGTCGCTTTGAAATGGAATCTAAAAGCAGGTGGCGCCAACCACATTCTAGCCGATAATATCAAACTTCTTAGTGAGAAGACCATGGTTGTCGGTTATGATGTTACCCATCCAACCAATATGCCTGTCACCGAGAAGAACAGGCCACCTAGTCTTGTGGGCATGGTGGCCAGTATCACCCCGGATCTAGCGCAGTGGCCGGCAACAGTCTGGGAACAAAGCACACGACAGGAGATGCTGGACGACACCCTCGTCACAGCCTTCCAGAGCCGCCTAGAGTTGTGGAGAAAGCACAATAAGGTCCTCCCTGAGCGGATCATCATCTTTCGTGACGGCGTGTCTGAGGGCCAGTTTCAGCAGGTTCTCGAGCAAGAGCTGCCTAAGATGAGAAGTGCCTGCAAGAAATTGTACAAGAAGAATCAGGATCCAAAACTAACAATCATCGTCTCCGTCAAACGCCACCATACCAGGTTCTACCCTGCCCAGCCAGAAAACACAGACCAGGCCACTGGCAATATCAAACCTGGCACTGTCGTTGACCGTGGCGTGACCCAGACTCGGTTCTGGGACTTTTATCTCACGGCCCATCACGCACTCAAGGGGACCGCCCGTCCCGCACATTATACTGTTCTGCTGGACGAGATCTTCAGGGACAAGTACCAGGATCAAGCAGCGAACAACCTTGAAAAGTTGACTCACGAGCTGTGCTACCTCTTCGGCCGTGCAACCAAAGCCGTGAGCATCTGCCCACCCGCATACTATGCCGACATTGTATGCGAGCGTGCTCGGTATCACCGACCAAATTACGATCTCAGCGACACTGAGAGTGTCTCGAGTGGTAGCGCTCGAGGTCAAGCCATCGAGATACACCCTAATTTACGGGATACCATGTACTACCTGTGAACCAGGAACGAAAAAAGTTGCTACCAAGGAATCTGAAACGACCTACAAGTCGTTATTTTCAATCAAACGAGCTATATAAGAATATGAGATTAGTTTTTTACAGACGACCGCCTACCAACCTTAATTAAGTGTTGAGAGGCTCACGGGTCACCGCCATCATCTGCTTATTTTATTACTTGGAGGGTGCGTCTGTCTGATTGCCACCTCCCTCGAGAGGGGGCAATTAGCTATGCTAACAAACCCGCCGGATAACTTGACATTTCACAGTTCGATGAGAAGGAAATCAATTATGGTTTCATGTTGCTTTGCTAGGTAGTTTAA